AGCATGCACAAGGCCCTGGGTTCAATCCCTAGCACTGCCCCCAAAACAAACAAACAAACAAACAAATAAATAAATAAAATTATGTAGATAGCTTAACAATTGTTGGATATGGCCATAAAAATTAATATTAGAATAATTGGAGGAATTTTAGAATTATATTTTTATGACATGAGTTCTGGATACAGCATAAAATGCCTAATTTACTGTGAAACACTAACATATGCTAAGTTCTACTGTTTTGTCAGCAAATAATATGGTACTTTTTTAGATGTGCATTTCATTTAACCTTCATGAAATACAAATCTATGCAGTATTTTTAAAGTGCTATGATAAAATGTATGTGCCAGACTTGCATGAGCACGTAAGAATTAATTGCCCACTGTGTAGCTGTAAATCCAGAAATTGTTATAAAAGTTGTTTTTAAATGGCATCATATTCAGCAGAAAATCTTCATAAAGTAAGTAATAACAGATTCATTACCCTTCTCTTATTTGCAGGACAGTGGTTTTGCATCAGCATATAGGTTATTCAGCCCATGATGTTTTTCTTTTGCAGTGCTGGGTAACAAACCCAGGGCATTGCACAGGCCAAGCTAATGATGTACTCTGAGCAATATCTGCAGCCCTCAGCCCAAAGCCCAAAGCCCAACAAATAAAAGACTTATGTGTTGTTTAATAAATTCTTAACTTTTATAATTCAGACATATCCTTATGTAGTAAAAATACCTTTTTAAATACTTCCAAAGAAGTTACAAATTAGACAAGCACATATGGTGCTTCTTTTTAAAAAAAAAAAAAAAATAACACGAAAGTTATGTATAGTAAAATAGCTATGAAAATTGCAATTTTAGGTTTCCTGAGTGTGATATTCTTTTCTCATAGGATTCTTTTTATATTCAAAAGATTATAATAGTTATTTTTGAAAATGTTCTCAAGAAAAATTTTGATAAAGGTGGGTGTGGTGGCATATGCCTGAAATTCCAGCGGCAGGAGGCTGAGGCAGGAGGATCGAAAGTTCAAAGCTAGCCTGAGCAACTTAGCAAGATCCTGTCTCAAAATTTAAAATTAAAAAAATAAAGATCTGAGGATGTGGCTCAGTGGTTAAGTGCCCCTGGATTTAATCCTCAATAGCAAATGAAAAAACAAAAAACAAAACAATCTTTTTGACCCAAGTGTACTACCCATGGTGTTTATTGAAAATGACTTTATAATGGATACTTTATGATTTTTATCTTTTCTGATCTTTCTTTGGTGCATGGCTCTATTGACTGCTTGACTGCTTCTGCTTCTGGAGGAAATTGTCCCCTTTCTCCTTTCATCACGTCTGTGCCATTTCTCACTATGGTTTTCCCTTTTTTCCTTGACTGTTCCTTTTAAGGATGCTTTTGTTAAAAGATCTTTCCTTTTGACTCACACTTGAAATGTTTCTTGGTATTCCTCAAGCACATGGTGATTCTTTTACTTCCACCAGTTGAAATCTACAAGGTTGGCAAAAAATCAAATGCTTACAGGACTGAGTAATGTAAATAGATTAAATAGATGAAGAGATCTGGTGGGTTTTTTTGTTTGTTTGTTTTGTTTTGTTTTGTTTAGCTTTTAAAGTATAGGAAGTAGATAAGGATTTCTAAAACTAAAAAGAACATGGCTCATCCAGAACTGTTCCTCTTAGTGTTGGCTTCAGTTAATATGAGAGCCACGTGCCTGTCCAAATACTGATACTATGTTTACTATGTGCCTGGGATGTGGGTATTAGGGAGAAGACAACTCTCCTGGAGCCAACACCAGCTTTGGAAATGGACCCTCATGGAGTCACAGTAAAGCTAAAGATGCTCACTTTTTCTTTTCTTTTCTTTTTCTCTTTTTTTGTTTTGTTTTGTTATTGGGGATTGAACCCAGAGGTGCTTTATCATTGAGCTATATCCTCAGCCTTTTTTATTTTTATTTTTGAGACAGTGTCTAGATACTCAATTGTACCAGATCATCAAATAAGAAAAAAAAGTCAGAGGTCCAGGTTTTCTGTTCAGTGCTACTTTTTAATTTCCTTTTTTTTTTTTTTAGAGAAACATAGGGCCTATTAAAACTGTGTTCCCTCTGTTTGTTAGGTTGACTTAAGAAGGAAGTTCCTAAAATCTTACTCCAAAATACCAAGGCCTGCTCACCTATGCCTGTTTTCACAGCATGATCTCCATCCTCTTCTTTGTTTCCCATCCTCTATTCATGACTGACCATGCCTGGAGCCTCTGTTCTTATATTACATCTTAGGTATTAGACTTCTTTCTAAAATGCATTTCCATTTTCCTCCCTTGCCACCCTTGGTCAGTCAATATTCTTTGATAGCCCAGATGTCAAGGCCTTAGTAAATTGACCCTAGTTTCATTGTATAAAGTTACTCTTACACTTCCAGTATTCCTCAGTATCCTTCAGTAGAGTTCTTATCAATGTGGTTTGTGGACCCGGAACCCAATGAAGCTGTGGTTTCATCTTTATATCCTGAGAATCCCAGCTCAACATTTTATACCTAAACAATGCTTCATAAACACCTATAGAAATAGTGGAAACCTGAGTCAGATTTACCTCCCAACAAACAGATAGTCTTGAACAGAAGCTTTGTTTCCCAGGTGGACAGTCTTGGTGTGAAAATTTCCTTTTGTTGAAAATGATAATTACCAAATTTTGAACTATTTACACTTGAAATATTTTTAGATCTGTTTCACTCAACTCCCTGTACTCCTCCCTCTCCACCTCTTCACCTCACCCACACCCTCACACCCAAACTGCTGCAGTGGGTGTAAAGAATGACTTATGCATTTGTAATGTATGACCCTGGACTTGTCATGATAGAGCACAAACATTCCCTCTCCTTTATTTTTGAGTTTTCTTAAAAGAGGTGTCAGGGGAGTAAGAAGGATGCAGACTAGGAATAGATATAACTTTATTGACTGGTAACCTAGTGCCAACAATGTTTTCAAAACCATGAAAGTACTTTGAGTTGGATAGCATTGTCCTCAACTTACTGATGTGGAAAGTGAGGTTAATTTACTTGTCATAAGAGAGTTCTGGATAATTTCTGAGGAGGAAGATTTATAGCTATAATTGGTTTGTTATATATTCTGTTTGTTTTCAACAATTTTTTTCTTCTTTGAATTCAATGCTATGTAAAATACATTAGTTTTGGTTATCTGGTATCTCCTGAATTTAAACTAAACTAAAAAAAAAAAAAAAAAAACAACCCTCAGTCATTTTAAATTAATGTCAGACTTCCCTTTTAACAGAATTTCTGGAATCTCCTGTTTAGCATTCTGAAATGCAATTCATAGATGCCATCATCTATTTGTATGTGCAGTTGTTTGAAAAATAAATATAATGTTGGAGCTGGGGCTGGTCAGTGGTAGTGCACTTGCCTAGCATATGTGAAGCACTGGGTTCATTCTCAGAATCACATATAAATTTTTTAAAAAAAGGTATATCAACAACTGAAAAACCATAAATAAATAAATAGGTATAATGTCCTGAGTATTATATAAACCTGAAATAATAGCAAAATAATTTATACTGAAACATGTATTCTAATACACACATACATATTAATAGTTACACAAGAAAATAAAATAAATGATCAGATGTTTGCATCTTTTAAGTAGACTTATTTTAAATTTTGACAGCTGAAGATATAGATTAATAATAGATTTAACTGAGAACAGTGGTGGACACCTGTAATCATAGCAGCTCAGGAGGCTGAGGCAGGAGGATGGTGAGTTCAAAGCCAGCTTCAGCAACTTAGGGAGGTCCTAAGCAACTCAGACAGATCCTGTCTCTAAATAAAATATTTTTAAAAGGGGCTAGGGATTAAGCTCAGTGGTTAAGCACCCATAGTTTCATTCCCTGGTACCAAAATAAATAAATAAATAATAAAAGATTTAATTGTCTTTGTCTTAATTGTGATGCAGATATGATAAGTAGTGTTCCTATTGGTGACATGTCTTTCCAAAGTAGTAACTAACTCTTGGTAGAGTTCCAAGCAAAATGTGAAAATCTTTCCTCCATTAATTTGAAACTTGATTTTCTATTTCTAGAAAATTTTGCTTAAACTAAAAAGTATATAAAATATATGTATTTATACATGAAATAGGTTAGGTTCCACACTCAGATGCATGATAGCAAAAACTTTGCCTCAATGATATATCCAGTGAAATATTTTATAGGTGTTGGGAACATAGGGCAATATTTATCATCAAGATTTTCTGGTGTTGAGAATTTCTGAATCTAGTCCAGTATACTTTACTCATTCCCCTTTTCACCCCCAGTCATTGAGCCAACCTAAAAAGTTCCTATTGATTTTTGATGTTTTCTCTCATGGGGTAGTATTGTTCTAACTATCTCTTCCAAATCAAAGTTGTCATTTGTTTAGAAGAAATAATCATTTCTTACTAGTGCCAAGTAAAACAGAAATATATAAGAATTGATTCCTTTGTTTAAGGATTTAATAGCCTAAGAAGATATTTAATATTAAAAATCTGTGTTTATCAAAATATATGTGATCTGAGAAGACCCAGGAAGATCATGCAGAGGAGGTAGTGTTCAAAGTGCATATGAAGCAGGTATACTGGAGTGGTGTTAGAAAAGTTGGCATCACAGATGAGGAAACAAAGCCAAGGAGTGTGGTACAAATGGAAGAGTTATTGCTAGAAACCAGTGGGCAACAATAATAGGAACTAAGACTGGAGTAAGATCATCCTATCCAAATGGAAATTAAATTGAATAATTTATAAATAGCAAATTTTTTTGCTATATGTTAATAGCAAAACCGGAAGACTTTGAAAAGAAGACTCGTTTCTGATCTCATTTTCAGTTTATATCCTCTTTAAAATATTTAATTATATCTCATTTAATTATAACTCATTTCTAAGGTCAATAAAGTCATTGAATCTATAGACACAAAATATGATTTATCAAAATAAGAAAACATGACTTTCAGTTCCTTCTACCTTTGTCTCTTTACAGGTATGATTTTGTAGAAGTTGAGGAACCCAGTGATGGAACTGTATTAGGGCGCTGGTGTGGTTCTGGTCCTGTACCAGGAAAACAGGTTTCCAAAGGAAATCAAATCAGGATAAGATTTGTATCTGATGAGTATTTTCCTTCTGAACCCGGATTCTGCATCCACTACAACATTGTTATGCCAGTAAGTGCCACTTTAAGATCCCCTTATTTAAGTGAGTCAGCTCTTTGTTTACTTGATTTCTCTTTTTAAATATGAGAATCAGAAAACCAAAACCAAAAATCCTTTCCCCAGCTTGGATTTTCCCCCCTTAAATGTCACTGTCTTTATCACAGACAACTTAAATATTGTCACTATAGCACATTAGCAGTGTTAAAATACCTTATCACTGTAATTTAATATTTGTTTTTGCATTCATAGAATTATAGGCTGCCCCTCACCCCCCAGCTCATTGACTGGTATTTCAACATTGTTGGAAAGTACGTAGGGATTTTCTGTTCAGAAAAATAGAGAAATTTGCAATATATATTACTCATTTGGAAATCACCGTAAAATTTTTTCTCTGTAATGTCTTTTTGAGTTAACTTCTAGTTTAAGTCATATTAAATAATAAAATACAATTTTAGTTTTCTAGCATTTTTCATGACTTGTTATACGACATTTTTTAGCATTTAACTAAATATTCTTATGTTAAAGTTTCCATTTTTGAAGGATGCTGGATACTTTGGAGCTCTTATTTTCAAATCCATGTATTGATTTTGGAACGAATATATTGTAGACCTAGAAAAGCAGCACTATTTGAGATTAATAGCACTAAATAGTTGTGTTTGCCTTAAAATTCCATGCTTTTATGTGATTTTCTACTTTTTTTTTTTACATTAAAGCATTATAATTTCTTTCTGTACCAACCAAAAAGTTTAATTTTTAGTTTGTTGTTTATAAATATGATCTGTTTCTTTTTGTCTTTTCTTAGAGAAAAGCAAATTTATTAAATATTAATTCTTTTCAAATCAATGCAAAAATGAAATATATTTTAAAATGTAGTTATCCCTGCTTTCCTACTTAAGATTTATTGTGTTAAAATAATATTTATGCCCCGTTGTTTCCCCCAAAAAAGGAATTTTAAAAATTCTCACTAGAATTTAAGAAATATTTCTAATATTTTGTCTAATTATAATTGTGCATTGTATAATAATTGCAATGCTCTTGTATTTTGTGTATGATTTTGAATATTTGTATGTGTTTGATGCACTACAACAAAAATGTTGGAAATTTTTTGTTTGTATCCTGTGCCTAAATAAGCTATCCAGACATTCCTATAAAGATATATTAATATTGTAGTGTACCTTTTAATAATCATCAGCAATATCACAATTTAAAAGAATCTGAAAACTTGATATCTTTAATGGTTTTGACAGAATATTTAATATATTAGTAGGCACACTGAGAACACAACAAAGTATAGGCTGCATTTATTACAATGTATACTCTTACTGGGTATAAAAACACTTAACATGTGCTAGTGACTCATGAGTCAAATTAGAAAATATGGAATCAATATTTGAATTTGTGTCTTACATTGTTAAGCTACAATTTCTCATTTTGATTGCCCACAGTGAAATTTTACATATTCATTGAGCAAAGAACTAAGAATAAGTGATAAAAACAAACTGGAGTTTGAGAAACATAATTTGTTTATTTATTATGAATAGAATCCTTTATTATATATTATTGCTGATAAAGGAAATAGCTCTGAAATATTATAAATTAATGCTATGAATTTTGATCCACTTTCTTTATAGATTATTAAGATATCCATATCATGCCATTCTGAAATACTTTTTGCTATCATATATTCTTTATCATTTTCTTTGTTACTTTCCAGAAATTTTCTTAATTTAATTTAATAATTTAATATTTTGAAATTTAAATTTAATAAAATTTAATAATTTTACCTAAAAAATGAAAATTATTGAGTAGATTTTTTAAAAAACAGTATTGATGAGTAATACATATTCTTTTTTTTTTTTCGTGTGTGTGTGTGTGTGTGTGTGTGTGTGTGTCTGGGGATTGAACACAGGTCCTTGTGCATGGTAGGCAGACACTCTTCCACTGTACCACATCCCCAGCCTAATAAGTAATACTTTTTTCTTTTGTACCAGAGATTCAACTCAGGTTGCTAGTCACATCCCTAGCCCTTTTTATTTTTTGAGGCAAGTTCTCACTAAGTTGCTTACAGCCTTGCTAAGTTGCTAAGGCTGCCTTTGAACTTGAGGTCCTCCTGCCTCTGCCTTCTGAGTGGCTGGGATTACAGGTATAAGCATGGCCTGATAAGCAACATTTTGATACTGTAATTGAATAAAGCCACTAAGAATCTATTTAACATAATTGTTAAGTATCCTCCTTCACAGAATTTATAATGTTAATCTTTTCTTTTAACTGTATATGGCCTTGGGATCCTTGGCTACATTTTTACAAAGTGATATGATGTACAGTTTCAGTTTTATCTTGCCTAAGGTTGTTAAGATTTAAGTATGGAATGATTAAATTTTAGTATAAAACATGACACTGGTTTTATGAGAGCAAAGGTTTTATTCATCCCTAATCTGTGATGAAAATAAAGTTTAAGTGTATTTGTATTATAAATTATACTCTTTGCATTATATTAATTTAAATTGCATACATACTATTCTGCTACAGAACAAAACGTGAAAGCTAAAATATATATATGCCACCAATAAGGGTTATCTGATTTACTGATCACATGGGTTATCTGGTTAGATAACTCAAAGAGTTGTGGGAATTAAATGAAATATGAAAGATAAAAAAAAATCACAAAATTTTTATGGCACCTGGCTCCAGAGAGCATATTATAGTTTTTCAATAAATACTGGAGAATGAGTCACTGCAGTTTAACTAATAAAGATTCACCAACACTTGCACTGTATATCTAAAAAATGTGTATCAGAGTCATTAACATTTTTGTGAGGCAAAGAACCACAAGGATCTACAAAATGTACCGTATGTTCTTTTTGCTAAGAAAGCCCTGCCCCAAGGATTAGACTCAGTAAGAGATTTACAGTGATCCTGAGGAGATACCACAACTGAGAGACAATAGGTCAAGTTATCACTGGTCAAGCTGCCATTAAATTAATTCAGTACATTTTGAAATGATCTTTGAAAGAGTTTGGTAAATGGTAAACAAGGGCTTTGGTGTGCTGTTGTCAGCTATCCTTGGATCTATTGAGCCTTCGTTTGCAAGGCCCCTATAGGGACCTGAACTGAGCTGTAGATAATGGAGATACATGAAGAAATGGCATAGGAGATATTCTAAACCTTACCACCTTTGAGATGCCAGGCAGAGAGAAACGAGAGTGCTTGAAGGTGGGGTCCTGCATTTATTAATACATGTAACTTTGTGATTTAATTTTAAAGATTGCTTTCTGGAGAAATTATTGATATGCAATCTGAAAAAGCTTTGGTTCTTTTGTGGTTTAAGTTTGCTTTCTCAGCTGACTGGCCATTTCTTCACCTGTCTCTTGTCTAGATACCCTACTCTCCTGACTTGCAGACACATCTAGTCTATACCTAATAACTGCCTAAGGAAGGGCAAGATTTGATGAGTGAAAATTTGACAAGCGATTATGCTTTTAAGCCTTGCAGAATGTTTTGAATTATTGTTGTATACTGCTAAGTGACATCCCAACCTCCATGAACCCCCCAACTCTTTGTACCAGGGCAGCAATCCATCAATCTTATCTGAGAATCAGATAAATGAAAGCCTAAAGGAAGAAAGTGTGCCTCTTAGCAGACTTAAAAGTTCTTGTGGCATTTGCTCAGGGGCAAGTGCCCCTCCAAGCCCCTGAATCATCTCCCATACTTTTGTTATTCTTTCTTTCTTGCCGTGGATGAACTTTCACACTGGCACACTCAGTTCCCTAGAGGCAATGGTCCCACTGATTGCAAACCCTCTGCTCTGAAACAGAACCTCTGCCGCAGCTGACCACAATGGTTTCTTAGCTTTGTAATGATAAAAATAATATGAACCGCAAGTCTTTAGTGAATGGTTACTCTTCCTGCATAGAGGTCTGTCATGAATGCCTCACACCAGACACATTATAGCTGCTCGAGATTTCATACCCATTGAGCCATTTCCCCTTAGAGTTGTCTAAAACAAAGTAGAATCACACTAACTTCTCCTTGACCACATGTTACCTTTATTGCTGCTACATGGTAGAGACCATTCAGCAACTGGAAAGCTGTTGAATCACAATAATGACACCAGGTATTCTGGTCCTGATATATTAGTGTGTTATTACCAAACCACCTTCTTTATATACTGAAGAGTTGTTCTAGTATCCATTTTGTTTGTTTGTTGTTGAGGAGTGGGTTGGATGGGGACACTCATTAAACATTCCCTATTTTACCCATAAATTATTATAACTTTTTACACATAAATTATTATAACTTTTACACATAAATTATTATAATAATTGTGTACTATCATCCTTACCTGCGTTTTGCAATCAGTCCAATGAATATTTTGCATCAGTTTATAAACAAAGAAAAATTTAAGTTAAATCACATTTTTTTCTAGGATGAATTACAAAGAAAGTTTATTTAAATACTGTATTTTATAAATAAAAAGATAACTGTAGCCTTCCTTAGGAGCATGAATGGGTATCTGATTCTGGTCAGCCTTTAGTTCTTTGTGATTCTGATTATCATGTGTCTTAGATGCGAAGTTTTAAATATATTACTTAACAATCTCTCAGGGTTGGCACCCAAGTTGCTATTAAAAATTATGTTCATCCTTGTAAGATAATTTGCATATTCTTCTTTCCTTCAATTAATGAAGGCATATTTTATATATGAATGTACACATATTTATATGTATATAAAATATATATAACAAGTGTACAGGTAAACAAGTGATGGAATATTACTTTGAATAAAGTGATGCTGATACACTACTTAAGGATTTTACATATTTTATAAATAACATCATTTATAATGTTACAATTTCAACATCATTTTCCTGATTCCCAAGTCCCTTAGGATAAAACATTAGTAAAGTTTATTTCTTCATTTTACCATGTTAAGTTGGTATTATAGACTGTTTAGTTTTTTAAATACCAGCATGAAATGTTGACATGAAATGGTAGGTAGTTGTAGATTTTTTT